TATGAGAAGGCCAAAAGTAAGCATCACTGGATTTTTTTTTTTTTTTTTTAATTATATATGTGACTTTGGTTCTAGGTCTATTTGGGACCAAATATGAGGGAGCATCAAAAAGTTCATGGGCTGTTTCCAAGAACTTTTTGACATAGAGCTTCTGAGATATTAGAAATCCAGACTGTGGCCAGCATGAGCAATATGGAACACTGGATGATCAAAGCTCTGTCCAGCCCTTCTTCCAGTGCTCAGATACCATGATGTGATGTGGTCCTTTAGAAGTTTGATATTTTTCAACTCAAAGTCTTAAATGTTCATGTTAAGGATAGTCTTGGCAATGTCGGCTTGTGTTTGTTTTACAGGCATTATTAGGAGCATATATAAATAGGTCATTTATTTCTTTTCTTTCCTTTTAAAAGTCCGGGTGTGCTGTATAGGGTAAGCACTGGACTGCGAGGTTGGTCAGCAATTCAAACCCACCAGCCACTTCTTGGAAACCCTATACAAGGTCACTATGGGTTGGAACTGAGTTTTTTAATGGATAATTCCTTAAACAGAAGTTTTGAAAATACCTCAGAATGAATAATATGAACACTGTCTTCCCCAATTTTCTATGTATATAGAATGGTCGAATTTTTATCTTTTGGTTTTGTACTTTCCAAACCAAAGTTAGAAATGGGAGCATAGGTTAAAGCTGGTAACATTAAAAGATAATGTTGTGATGATTAAATATGTATGTAACATATAGCCACAACACGTGAGTTATGCATAGTAATGTCACAACAATAACCGAAAAGCTAAAAATAGGATGATGGTGACCACAGTGCCTAGTTATTTCTGAAACCTTTCAATGCTTTCTTCTTTGTAGAGTAAAGATCGCTGAACCAGGATTAAGAAACTTTAGTCATCATTTGCCACTAACTGGCTTTGTGACATTAAGCACAGTATTAGGTTAAATCCTGTTGACCTTAGTGGGGTTTTTTGTTTTTTTCTTAGCCTCTTGTTCTGTGTCTAATCTCTAGATAATTTAAAAAAGAATGCTCTCTACCACCATTGCTTTTCCCCAAATTTTATTACAAAACAGGAAAAATAAATGTATGGTGAGAATTTTTTGTTGTTGTTAAGTGCCGTCGAGTCAGTTCCGACCCATAGCGACCCTGTACAGGGTTTCCGAGGGTGTAAATCTTTACGGGAGTAGAAAGCCTCATCTTTCTCCCACGGAGCGGCTGGTAGTTTCGAACCGCTGACCTTAAGGTTCGCAGGCCGATTCGTAACCACTACGCTACCAGAGAATAGAGAGTACTTAAATATATATATATATATATATATATATATATATATATATCTTTCTAAGTCTGGTATTGATTATGGAACTATCTGAAGAAGCACCGGGTGGGCCAATTGGAAAGGCTGATGTCAGTTTAGATAATTCTGCACTGGACTTCCAGTCCTGTGTTGGAAACAGATTGTAAGTCAGAGGACGATCTTAATGTTTCCCAATAAAGACACATTTATTTATTCCACTAATAAGATTCAGAGAGGAGGTTAATTAATTAAAAGTATGTTTCCTAGCTTTGTATTTAACTAACAGTAGCCTACTGGAAGCCATAGTTTATTCATTAGTAGATGACTTGGCGAGCTGCTGACTTCAGCCATGAGAACACTGAGCAGTTTGGAGGGTGGAACAGCCCCGTCATCACTGTGTTACTGTTGTTAAGTGCCATTCAGTCAGTTCCAGTTCACAACAACCCAGTACGGGGTCTCCGAGGACTGCTGTGATATTTCTGGTCAATCAATAAAGTTATAAAACCTACACAAAGACATAGGTCACCTTTCTTCTATTTCAAAAACACTTTTTTGATACGTGGAATGATGTAATTTAGACTAGTTAAATTACCAGTTTCCTTGGACTCTACACCTCGTTAACAGTAACCTTCTTGCCTACCTGGAGAAATTACTAGAAATCTGGGGTGTAAGACTGACTGTTACGCTCTGACTTTGGGAAATCAGAAAGCTGAAATCTGCCTTTTCCCCTGCCTCTCACAGGCTGATCAAAATCCACCTCTAGGATTCCTAACCTCTCTTGTCTCTTTGAAACTGTAAACAGGGAGGTGAGAGCTCTGATATCAGAGCAAGGACTTAGAATCCAAGGCCTGATAGTAGTGGACAAATCGTTCTAACCATGGGGATAAGACCGTAAACCCAGGAGTGAGCAAAGTAATAGTTAAAAACAGTTGAGATTAAAGAAATAAATGATAAATTGTAACTGATAATAAAGTTCCCAAAGCCTTGTCTCAATATTTTTAAGTGCATTAACATACGAAGTTTTAACAGTAGAAGTTTTAAGAGCAATGAAGTAGTTGGTTGGATTTTTCATGTCAGTTGCCCTGAAAGTCCTAAGTATCACAATTCACCTAGCAGCAACTCCCTGAAATATAATCCTGGTGTTTTGGGAAGAAAATAAACTGTTCTTTAAGTGGTAATTTCTAAAGTAAGTCTGAGGAACCTCCTTTCCTTTTTCTTTCTTTTTTTTTTTTTTAAATCAAGATATATTAAAATATCATCCTTATAATAATTTATGTGAAAATAATGACTGAAAGCCATTACAAATATTTTTTGCTTTTAAAAATAATAAAGGACAGCAATTCGAATATATGCTGAACAGCATTTTATGGACTTGCAGGCCCCACGTCATAGCCTGGTTTAGAAATCCAACTCTTCAGGAGTTAAAAAAAAAATTTGTTCTGTGCTGCTGCTCAGCACCTATGAAAGCACGTGGCACATGGTGGGTTGTTGTTGTTAAGTGCCGTCGAGTCGGTTCTGACCCATAGTGACCCTGTATAGGGTTTCCAAGGAGCAGCTGGTGAGCTTAAACCTCCGACTTTGCAGTTCAAGCAGCTTTGCAGTCTGGCACATTAACCCACAGCGCCACACCAGCGGTGCTCAGCAAATGTTAAGTGCCGTGGAGTCGGTTTCAACTCATAGAGACCTGTATAGG